TCGAATTTCGGCGAACAATCATCACGCCAAACCTTCGCTCACAGCAATCGTGAAACTGCTGAAAAGTGGGAAAGAGGACAGGAGGTCATAACGCACTGCATCGTTAGTGTTTTCGATAGCATTGCTACAGCAGATTCATTACATGTCGTGTTGAATTTGTAAACTCGTCTTCAGATGGGCGCTGATGTCGTCGGGTGAGGAATCGTTGTACGGACCGAACCGGTGAGGGAAGGAACTATGCGAAATCAAAATACTCCTATTCCATCACTTTTACACTCCTATTCCCTAGTTGCCCTATGGCTCAGTCCTTAAGGGGACATAGGGAGAGGGATGTTGGCTGTATGGATTCGTTCATTCTGGGACAATGTGAAGCATGCAATCACGAGTGAACCCATCTCTATGGTGTCAACATTGAGGATCGCTGAGTGTAAGCGTGTGTAAGCGCAGCGATGCACCACACGCGAACTCACATTCCGATGACATGACCTGCTTCGACATGAAGCTGCGGCCTGGATGAAGAACCACTCTGTGGATATTACGAACTTTCTACAACTGGCGATGGCTCCTGGTATGAAAGGAAACTGAACCATTCAGTTCGGAAAAAGTCTACGCTTGGAGTCACTGAAAGCTTTTGCTCTTTTCGTGGAAATGCTACGATGTAAAGGCAGAAATTATTGAGATGCGCCTGTTTTTGAGCAAAGCTCCCCTGTAGATGACTGCACGCTCAACTGAGGCAAAATTGAATTCGTAGTGTACAGGATACTGCTAGGAAGCACAGTCAATCTTTCCTAACCTTTCCACATATTATACAGACTTTGAATCCTTCGATATGGCTGTTCCCAACATGTCTATAATGCATTGCATCATCAATCACCTCTGAGAATCTTTATCGAGCAAATTGATATCACATCATGTTGCGTCACAGTCGATGGCGTAAGGTTTGTGTAAGTGTGCATTTTTTCTGCACAACACAGTTTATTTGACGCCAAGGGATTACGGTAAAGGTTTGGTCACCTCCGGAAGTTACATTCTTGTTAGGAAGGTCATGAGCGCCCCACCCGAATGCAACCAGTGGTCAGTTGGCTACAGGCTGCACCAATTTGGCTTCCAAGCATTTCACGAGCCAGTTGGCCATTATTATTGTAATCGGTACCACATAGGTTTGGTAGACTGATCACGGAACAAAATGGTCACTGACTCTTTCTTCTTCCTCATCTGCGCTGGAAATGTATTTCTTGACAAATCCGAGCCGATGGCATGAGATGGATGCTTTTCGGAAGCCACACATGTAAGCGCAACTGGGTCCCGCGAGAAAGGAACTAGGAGGTTATGCCACGGTAAAGTGCACCCGCATGTGGCGAAGATACCCTCGCCTTCAAATAACCAGAAAATTGTGCAATTGCAGAAATTGACGTGGCATTAACGTGGCATCGATTCAAGAACATCTTTGAGCACACGTGACGTCACCTTTTCATCGAGAATTTAGCCACGTGTGCCACGTGGATTTCTGGCTGCATGAAACGGAGTGTAGCTCATCAGTATGGATCGGAATTCGAAAGTAGCCATACCCAACTTTCCTGGTTCAGCTTTTTTTTAATGTTTTCGTTTCATAGTGATGAGGCATCATTTGAAAGGTGACACGACAAGTTGGATTTGTAAGAAGGGCGAACGTGCTTACTGTAGGAAGGGAGGCTGTGCCTCTAAGGGACCGATACATAGCGTATTTGGGACAAAAGAAGCCCCCACAGTGACGTAGGAAAACTACCCACGCTTCCAGGCATATTCGTTCCCCTCCCCGCCCACTAGTTGGCTACTCCAGCTGCTGGCTCCTACCGTCGGGCTGTAGCCGTTTTAGCGAAGAGGCAAACATAGTGTTCTCATCGGTGACGTCAGCACCGATGTGACTCGTCCTAAGCGGGAATCGGTTGGGGAAACAAGAATTTTTTTGCGTGTTCAACCACTTCTTTTACAGGGAAAGTTCCTCTGGTCGCATGGCCAGAGGCAACACGTAGAATAACATATGGGTCTTTAAACGGTGACCTCGTATCTGACTTTCAAATCTGCTTAAAGATTTGTAGAACCAAGTTATGGAGGGTGTTCTGCCCTGAAGGCAGTTTTCAAAGTTTTTGATGGACCTCGGGATTCCGCGGCAGTGGTGCAGCCGATAGGCAAGCGGACTCACAGGAGCAGCACCAAAGTTCGTTTCTGGCATAAGTGCTGTTTTTGCCTTTATATTGAAATTTTATCAGAGCGATTGCAAAACTTTTCAGGCAGGTAATTGAAGAGTAAGAATAGTCAAAGTTGGACGGGAAAGCGAAATTGTGCGTCAAGGAATTGATCCTAGGTATTGCTCGTGCCAGTCCGCTCCTGTACCGGCTGCAACATTGAGGCGCGACGCCTTATTGAAAGACCCTAAAGAGCTGGACATGAGTAGTGAAAGCATCTGGCTTACTACGATCCTCAAATTTTTTTTCTAGCAGATTTGGAAGCCAGATTTGGACGCAGTGCTACAAGACGCATACGTGAGACTACATCTCATCTCAATCGGCCATGGCGACCTGTGGGAATCCTTCGTTTTCTTGCCTGCCACACCTCTT